GTATGTGTATGTGTGTGTGCCTGTGCCCAAAGGATGGTGTACTTTATCACGTTAGGTGTAGTTTCATTCATATTTTTTCCCACTTGTTTTTCCCCTCAATCCTGATGATGGCTACTGGCCGAAAATTTGATGGAGGTATTGTAATTTGCAGTGAAGAAACCACTTGATTTGAGGATAGTGTATGTGTTGTAAATGGCTTTCTTCACTTGCTCCCAGCCCCGTGTCATCTCCACACTTATACAATGGACGACAATAACTACATTTAGAAAGACTGCAGCCGCCAGTTCCGTCGACAAAGTGACCTGAGTCGTCATCTCCGTTTCTGCTCCTGACAATGACTCTGGCTCCTTTCGGAGTGGTGTGGCCCCTGTGGCAACCAAGCTACAGTAGTAGTAGTAGTAGTAGTAGTAGTGTTTGTGTGTGTGTGTTTGTGTGTGTGTGTGTGTGTGTGTGTGTGTGTGTGTGTGTGTGTCAAGGGTCTTCTTGGACGGTTTGAGATGTGTTAGCTCCGTAGTTTCTGGTAGTTTTTGGCAGTTTCTAGCCATCCTGGACGGCTTGGGGTGGCCTAAGATTACCCCAGCCGTCCAGGAGAGTGTACTGAGGTAAAGGACTCAACAGGAGACTTGATCGGGTACTTTCTGATGCCGACACTCTCCTCGTTGTTCTTCTAAAATTTCTCAGATGCCCCGCGAGGTGTTGCGAACCAGCGGGTGGTGACAACTACCGCACAAGGACAACGACAGGGGGAACAGGTCTTGAGTATTGGTACGTGGAACGTCTGCAGCCTGTTGAAAGCGACGGACCTATTGAGACAGCAGCTGTCGGAGGAAATGTTTCTGACGAGCGAAAAATTGTTCGTATTGTTCGTCACCTTGCCCGCCTGGACATGGACGCTCTGGCAGTACAGGAAACCCACTGGTTTGGATGCGAGAAATATCGAGTGGAGGGAGCCGAAGTAATAATGTCAGGACGGCCTGTTCCAGCTGAGGGCCAGTCGTGTGGCGAGGTGAGGGTGTCGCCTTCGTACTGAGCGGACGAGCTTTGAAATTGTGGCGCGACGGGGGATGCCAGATCAGTAATTGCTCCGGGAATGAGTGATGGCAATTCGCCTGAAGTTTACTTCGACAGACGGTTCCCCAGAGTGGCTCACGATCATCACAGCCTATGCTCCAACTTTCAGCAGTACTCGCTCGTCAAAGGATGAGTTTTTCAACTCGCTGCAGAACGTAGTGAGTAAAATTCCACTAGACGAAAAATACATCCTGCTCGGGGACTTCAACGCACGGGTAGGTTCTGGACAGAGGGACGATGATTGGTGTAGGATCCGCGGTCCTCATGGAGTGGGTGCTGTAAATTCATCTGGCGAGGAACTTCTTAGTTTTCTGGCTTTGCATGAAGGATGGCTGTGTAACACCTGGTTTTGTAAGAAGTCCAGTCTTCTTGGAACATGGCAACACCCAAGATCAAAGAGAGTCCCTTGTATTGACTAGAATTATTGTAATACCCCAGTGGGAGAGACGGCGCTGCATCGACACCCAGGTTATCCGCTCCGCCGAATGCGGATGACTTTGCACTGGTTGCTACCTCCCATGAGGGTGCACAACAGGCTCTGGCTGCCTTTGTACGTGTTGCTGGCGCATTTGGCCTGAAGGTGAATCTCGCCAAGACCAAGGTTATGCCGGTCGGCTACGGACTCACAGCACATGACCGCTTGCCTTTGATGGTAGTGGGTGATATTGTTGAGAGCGTGGCTGGCTTCAGGTGTCTCAGCGCCATCGTACATATAGATGGTCGATCGGCTCATGACATCAAGTCACGCATTGCTGGAGCATCGAGGGCCTTCGGGGCGCTGCGTCGTACGGTGTTCATGGACCGCAACCTATTAGTTGCCACGAAGCGCCAGGTGTATGAGGCATGTGTTGTATCCCTGTTGCTCTACTGCACTGAGTGCTGGGTGCTGCTGAGCCGGGATGTAGCCGCCCTCTCGACATTCCATATGAGATGTATCCGTTCGATCCTGGGCATCACTTAACTTGACATCTGGACATCCCGCGTGACTAACACAGAGGTTCTGGCAATCTGGAACTCCGCCAGACAAGACGATCTACCGACCCGGCTCCTGTGTTGCCGAATGGAGTGGCTTGATCATCTGTGCAGAATGGAGGAGGAGCGTACTCCGCGTCAGCTGCTGTTTGGCGCCCTCTTGCCGACCCGTCCTGCCTGTGGCCCTCGGAAGAGGTGGCGTGACGCCGTGGGAGGGGATGTTCGATGCCTCGACCTGGGCAATGAGGAATGGTTTGACCTGGCACAAGAGTGCAGTGAATGGCGAGGGGCGTACTCCAGCATTGCGTCATCTGGACCACGCCCGCAACCACGAACACCATGCGCGGTCTGTGGCCGGTCACTGTCGAAGAGTGGTATGGCCCGACGCAAGTGCAAAGAGGAGCGCAGCAAGCCGATCGCAGATCAGATTGGGAACAGGAAATGCCCGTCGTGTAAGAGATGGTTCAGGAGCGCAGGAGGCCTCGGTGTCCATAAGTGTCGACCCGACGACGATTGTTCTACAGGCACAGTGGCGGACCCTTCTTTGTCTGCGCCCAACTCGGTCGCTTCTTTGTCTGCGCCCAACTCGGTTGCGGCAGTACCAGTGCCGGCGAGGACTCAGTTAACACTACCCTGCTGCCAGGCTCATTGCAGCGCATGTGGCAGATGCTGCCGATCAAAGAGGGGTTTCCAACTCCACAGCTGCGCAAAGTACACCCGAACTCTCGTTGGCCGCTAGCCTGCGGAGCGTGCTGCGCACCGTATTCAACGACCTACCCCATGTCTGTCGGCCCCTCATATGAGGGGACATGTGACCATTTTACGGCAATGTTCAGGACAGGACAGGTGTGTGTGTGTGTGTGTGTGTTTGGAAATTTGTTCATTCAAGCGAATTCTAACACAAGTGGACATGACGACAGTGGCATGTTCACAATGACGACCGTGGCGTGTTCACAATGGCGACAGTGACATGTTCACAATGACGACACACACACGCGAAGCAGTCTACAGCAGCCACTGTAGGTCTATGGGCATAGGAGCGAGCTACACGACGCAGCCTAGGCGAGGGCTGAGGCTGAATATTTTAAAGTGCATCTCGTCTTTTCAGCAACGAACAGGAGCGCATATTACCACTTGCTTTACGCGGCTGACAGTCAACAAAATTGTGCGAGAAGAAAATCAGAGATACGGTCAACATGGACGCTCGCGCCGTCACACGGTTGAGCAAGCGGTCACATGCTCATACGTACACCAGTCGCCCGCGATGCCCAGTCGCCGTGCTTGCAGGCTACAACTTTCACACCAAGGTTCAACTCGAGTGACAGGAACACGCACACGCTGTGTTAAACATGCGGGGGCTTCAACCCGGGTCAAGTTTCAACCCACCAACAACACAGATTGACCGACTGACTGGCGCATTTGCATGACGCATTGCGCTTGACCCGGGTTGAAATTTTGCCCCGGGTTGATTTCAATCCTCCCCCCCCCCTCCCCAGGGGAGGGTTGAAATCAACCCGGTGCGAGAAATCATACTAACGTACTTCTGTGCGTAACTCACGCCAGGTTTGATTAGCACTGCACAGGCGGATATCGCGCAAAAGACTTCACGTGACCATACAGGACTCTAGAAGTGGACTTTTGGCGGCAAATCAGTATTTGACCTGGGTCAACTGTCTTCATGTAAACACTCACCTATTTTGTCTATACTTTCAACACTCATGCTGAACTCATGCAAACGCAGTCTTACCTGTAACCTGTGGGCTAGGCCCAGACAGATACTGCCGGTAATCCTTTCGGCAAAATATCGAAGAATTTTAAGAAGCGGAAATCGCTGGCAAAATCGAGCAAAATATCGAGATTAGGGGTGAAATCGACGGCTGACACTGAAACAAAGCACGATGATGGCAGCTTAGCGCAACGTGGCAATTTCTTGTCCCCGATCATGGTTTGTTGCAGAAACAAAAAAGTCTTTCATTGCAGTTACACTGAAATGGCACCAAATGCCTGGAAATGCTTGCAATTGGCTTCGATTTTTGAATTTTTTCCTGGGGCGGGTAATGTTTGTCCCCGATCGTTGCGTCTTCTTGGTTTGTTGCAGAATTAAAAAGTCTTTCATTGTAGTTACACTGAAATGGCACAAAATGCCCGGAAAATTCGCGGCGAAAATGCTTGCAATTGGCTTCAGTTTTTGAAATTTTTTACCGGGGGAGGACCCTCGGACCCCTCCCATGGCCACCCCACCTCAAGTCGGTGCACCGGGCCTGTATGGTACATGAACAACGAGTGAGAAAGTCACTATGACATGAAAACCAGGCTCAGTACACCAACTGGCTTTCACAGAACCACAAGACTTGAACACTGACGAAAACATTGCAGTGGTCACCAGCAAAATATTATGGAAAGTTTGGAAACCCCCTCGATAGGCGAAAGCCTTTGGGGGATCCGAAAACAATTACAAAACCGACCCGCTCGCCAATTCGCCCTCCGTGTTCCGCTGCCTTCAAAATCTCCTCTGTTCACTCCTCTCTGATATGATGTTTTCCCTTCTTTTTACAAAAAAAGTCACCCGAAGCCTAGCCACTAATTCCCTTTCTTTACCCACGGTGCACCCCCAAGCTGGATTCGACACACACGTACACCTTACACCCCGGTGTAGGAAGACCTAGGTCCGCCTACGGAGAATGCCCAAAGAAGATAATAAAATGCCATACCGATAGAATACAGTTCCCAAACCATTCCCTAAACCCCTCCCCCTCTTCAGAGTGCTTCCGAATACACAGGCTACTGGCCTGAGGAAAAGATTTATAGATGAACTCTAACTCGTCCAGACCATGATCCTTATATTTATGCTTCTTTCTGTTTGTTTTCAGAACAACAACCCCTTCAAAAACATCAGTCTAAAGCCCCGTATCACACATTACTTGTACAAAGAGGTACCAGGAAGCCAAATATCTTACCATTTCCATCGCTATGAAACACCGCTCGCAAAGAGCCACTCCAAACGTACACAGAGCTTAGACGACTGGAAACAGCAAACGACTTCTCTGCAAGTAAAGAAGAGAATGAAAGTGCAAGACAAAGGAGAAGACAGATGAGTGCGCAATAATGGCCGCCGTGCAGGCCAAGCCCGTGATTCCGACACAGCGCGTGAGGTTAATCTGCATCCTGAACGGCAGAACTTGCCAAGTCGGACCATCACAAGCCAGGAGTAGTATATCATGGTATACTGTAAAAGTCCGTAAATAAGTACCTGCCCGAAATAAATACCCCCGCTTAGCAAGTACATCTACATGAAAATGACTTCTCCACTACTAGTCAGTACACACAAGTCAGGTCCGAAAGTCAGATCGTGCCTTATGAGTCCGTGCCTGAAAGTCAGTCCGTGCCTGAAAATCAGATCGTGCCTGAAAGTCAGTCCGTGCCTGAAAGTCAGTCCGTGCCTGAAAGTCAGATCGTGCCTGAAAGTCAGTATGATCATGCCTGAAAGTCAGTTCGTGCCTGAAAGTCAGTTCGTGCCTGAAAGTCAGTCCGCGCCTGAAAGTCAGATCATGCCTGAAAGTCAGTTCGTGCCTGAAAGTCAGTACGTGCCTGAAAGTCAGTTCGTGCCCGAAAGTCAGTTCGTGCCCGAAAGTCAGTTCGTGCCCGAAAGTCAGTTCGTGCCCGAAAGTCAGTTCGTGCCCGAAAGTCAGTTCGTGCCTGAAAGTCAGCTCGTGCCTGAAAGTCAGATGCCCCACGATCTGCTAAAACCACCCTTCGGTGCTGTGTAATTTTTCAGAAAATGATGAAAACGTCAGCACGTCTCGATTTTCTCATCATCGCAGGTGACAGTCATGGCGGAAGGAGGACGAAGGCGCTCGTTGGCACAAATTGTTGTCGGATTCTCGGCAGCGGAGTCGTCAGCACTGCTAAATGACGATAGATTGTTCTTCGGGTGGTCAGAGCAAGATTCTGACGACCAGAGCGATGACGAATCAACCGACGCCTCTCCGCTCGTGACCCTGCCGATCGCGCTTGCGATCGATGCGGAGGAGAATTTGAACGAGGCGCCAGCGCTACAGCCAGCACAAGCCCTCGCCGCCGGACGACAGGGCCAACCTAAGAAATCCCGTGCCCAGGCGGCGCCCAGTACTGTTGAAGTGGTACAGGCGCGAGTGGACAAGGGCTGCAGTTGTGCCGGTGTCAACTGTTAAGAACGTGTCACCGGATACTCTACTCACTGCACGCAACACAGCGCTCGCAATGACGAACGAGGAGCTGTACTGTTATGTCGCTGGAAAGCTCGATGTGTTGAGACAACGCGGTGCAGTTACTTCTCACCATGGAAGCATTGCGCATGCAGCGCGGAGAAAGGTCCCGATCCACTTATCGCTATGAAGTGGATGGTGACGAAGTGTGCCAGACTGTTTTCATGTACGCACATTATGTAAAGGAGTGGAAGCTAAAACAAATAAGGCGGATGTCCATGAGCATGCTGTAGCTCCCCCTCAGCACGCATGTGAGGGTTCTTTGCCCTGGAATGCACTGCCTCCAGATGAAGTGTCTGACATCAGGCCGGCAGTTCATCCACCACTATGGTGACATCACTGGACTTCCCCAGCCTGCTGCCCAGGCCAGCTCCAACTAATACTTACCTGCCATGTGCTACTACCAACTGGAGGACCAGCAGCATACACAACATTCTTGAAAATTTGGAGCAGTGATCTAGTGAGTGCAGTGATGTGATAATTATGAGACCAAAAGAAAATGTGTGCGGTGTATGTTTCGATCTGCAGTCTCAGATCATAAGGGCAAGAACGGCAGAAACTTGCTTAAAAAGCACACTGATGCACTCAGAGCTCATATTGAAGAAGCTAACATGGCCCATGACCTTTATCAAAAGTGTATTACTGCCTGGCATCTGATCATCTGCCAGTGACGCTCCAGACGGCTGGAATCTCACAGCAACGTGCAAAGTACTTGCACCAACAGATTCACCAGCACTGACACCCAGAGAGCAGAGATGTCACCTGCCCAGCACCAGACCAAGCAGAGCCAATGTCCTAATTATTTGTTCGGAACATACATAGTAGAATACTGGATAGCTGTGCAAAATAGTGTTTCTCTCTACACAGAAAGGTGTATGACAGGTGTATGAAGCCTCAGATACGAAATATAGTGTGAATATCAATTACTTTTGGCATTCTTATGCACTAAAAGCTTTAATAAGATGGGTCATATTTCAATGAATATATAAAATTTGAGCCTAATCACATGACTTCACCATATGTTTGTGCAATGGCCAGGGACCAACTTCCCGCCAAAAACTCATTTTCGGCAAAATAGCACCAAAGGGTGGTTTTAGCAAATTCTTGGCCAGATCGTGCCTGAAAGTCAGTTCGTGCCTGAAAGTCAGTCCATGCATGAAAGTCAGTTCATGCCCGAAAGTCAGTTTGTGCCTGAAAGTCAGTTCGTGCCCGAAAGTCAGTCCGTGCCTGAAAGTCAGTTCGTGCCCGAAAGTCAGTGCGTGCCCGAAAGTCAGTTCGTGCCCGAAAGTCAGTTCGTGCCTGAAAGTCACTCCGTGCCTGAAAGTCAGTTCGTGCCCGAAAGTCAGTTCGTGCCTGAAAGTCAGCTCGTGTCTGAAAGTCAGGTCGTGCCTGAAAGTCAGTTCGTGCCTGAAAGTCAGTCCGTGCATGAAAGTCAGTTCATGCCCGAAAGTAAGTTTGTGCCTGAAAGTCAGTTCGTGTCCGAAAGTCAGTCCGTGCCTGAAAGTCAGTTCGTGCCCGAAAGTCAGTGCGTGCCCGAAAGTCAGTTCATGCCCGAAAGTCAGTTCGTGCCTGAAAGTCACTCCGTGCCTGAAAGTCAGTTCGTGCCCGAAAGTCAGTTCGTGCCTGAAAGTCAGCTCGTGTCTGAAAGTCAGATCATGCCTGAAAGTCAGTTCGTGCCTGAAAGTCAGTTCGTGCCTGAAAGTCAGTTCGTGCCTGAAAGTCAGTTCGTGCCCGAAAGTCAGTTCGTGCCTGAAAGTCAGTTCGTGCCCGAAAGTCAGTCCGTGCCTGAAAGTCAGTTCGTGCCTGAAAGTCAGTACGTGCCCGAAAGTCAGTTCGTGCCTGAAAGTCACTCCGTGCCTGAAAGTCAGTGCGTGCCTGAAAGTCAGTCCGTGCCTGAAAGTCAGTTCGTGCCTGAAAGTCAGTAGGCCCGTCCGAAAGTTAAGGTGACCACTAGATTAGAAAGTAACTACATCAAGCTAGTGCTAAGAGTTGAGACTAACTTTGTGGATCGCCGTGACACACACTCTCTCTTTCTCCCTCTCTCTCTCTCTCTCTCTCTCTCTCTCTCTCTCTCTTTCTTTCTCTCTCTCTCTCTCTCTCTCTCTCTCTCTCTCTCTCTCTCTCTCTCTCTCACTCTCTTTCGGGCCTCTTCACCTTCACACCATTGTCTGCCGTGAGATATTGTGGGTAGGTCTTTGAATATGTTTCATGTTGTGTAGCCAAGGACTCTATGCGGTAGACCTTTCCTAAAGATGCTATAATTTTCGCAGCATAGGCTTTTCGCAATCGTGCCTAAACAAGTGCTAGTAGCGGCTGAAATCGCATCCATATTTTCAGACTGAAAAGCTCAAAAGTTGCTAATATCGCAACTTAAAATTGGAGAGTTCTTGTGCAAAACAAAAAGGAGCAGAAATAGCAGTAGGGCAGCAACAGCAAACTCGTACACCCCTTCCTGCTGTGAACCACCACTTTACACAGTGCCAGTAGCCTGTTGCATGTATCCTCCATATCAGTACATCATTCCAGTGCAAGGAAAAGGGAACTACCGTTGATCTACTGTTTCTCTGAAATGAGTCTGAAGGCAGGCGGGAAATGAGCGAGTATGCATTCGTCCAATATGTAGTCCGTGACTTGACCTTTTGACCCCATGCCATGGGGCCAAGGTTGTGGAAAAGTTGCGAAATAGTTCGCGAAAATGAAGGAAGTTGCGAAAGTTCGATTTTTTCCTGAACAATGGAAAGTTGCGGAAAAAAGTGGCGAGCATCTTTGGGAAAGGGCTACTGTGCGGATGTGGCAGTAGAGATTAAAAGTCAATAAATAATTATAATATTCTTGAGGATTTCCCAAAGACAAATTTAATTGTAGGGAGTTCCATTATAATGGGAGGCTGTAGAGTGCAGATACAGTTGAACATCGATTATCCGCACATCGACTATCCGACCATTTGATTATCCGTAACAGTTTTTTTGGGCGCACGTGCCGTAGAGTACGCACTGTGCATGTAGTGAGCCATTCAAAAAATACGAAAATTTTGAAAAGTAGCACTCTATTCTATTTACAATGTACATGTATTTACAGTGTGTTTTCTTATCCGGAACATTTGCCTTATCTGAACACCGCCTGACAGTTGTCTGCCCAGAGGTGGTCGGATAATCGATGTTCAACTGTATCAAACAGTGGGTTCTCTACTTGCAATGCGCAAGGAGAGGCCTAACAAGTTTTTTTATCTATTTATTTATTTATGGGAGTTTAAGATAAAGCCTGTGGAGAGTCCATAAATACAATAATACAAACATTACAAGAACAATCCTACTCACAACTCACCTTCAAAGACAGTTCAACAAAATATTCTTCACCGGTAGCCAAGGACAGCCGACGCAGTGTAACCTTTCCTCGGGGAGACAGTGAAGCGAATGAGCTTCTTCTTCCGCCCACTGCATCCGCTTTTATTTCAGCTGCCGCTGCAAGGTACGAGGCAACATGGTGTTGTGGGATTTTTTCCGGGCTACCCGCGTGCAGTGCGTATCTCGTATAGTCTGATTCAGCTACATGTACAGTATGCATACTTCATTTCGCGCATATCGCATGGGAAATGCGTCGCATCGGGAAAAAGTGGACTATTTCCCGTACGGCCTTTTTGGCCGTTTTGGCCCATCCAAATGACTTTCCCGTACGCGAAACGAAGAATGACTATGTGTATGATCATAATGAGCATGAAGATCATATCACATGGTACCAAGACTCAAGAGTAGATAAACAGTTTTACTCTTGATGGTACGGATAAGGAGGGCATGATGGCTGATTGATGCCCAAGGGCGTAGCCCGAGGTCGTGCACCGTATATATATGTAGCCAAAGGGCAGATTATGTACTAGTACCAGGTCACTACGAACCAGGGAGTAGTACAATACCGGGTATTGTACTACTCCCTGCTACGAACACTGCCCAAATACGGGCAAGATTTAAAAAAAAACACTGCCGACTGGTGCATATTTTGGCAGTGCACCAGCGTAGACCTACGTAGTACGCCTGGGGGCTAGGCCCTAACGGACATGGGTACACCGTACCCGGCGACTGATTATGCCAGGGTACGGTGCTTCTCTGATTGGTCAAATCCTAGCAACGACCTGCCAAGGGAGTTCCGGATTCAGGATCTACAATAGGAGGAAGGTGCCAATACTGTACCTAGAATCGAAAACTCTTGCTAGGATTTATTATTTTGGTAGGGAAGGCCCTATAGATAGGCATCGGTGGCTAATGCTCGTTTATTTTTACTGATAATGCTTCCAGCACTGCTCGTTATTACAGCAAATAATGCTAGTTTGAATGCTCCTTCTGCACTCTAGTAATGCTCGTAACCGAAGTGAAAATTGTGGGTAAAAGCCTACTAAAAGGGATCGTAAAGAACGTCATAAATTCAAAATCGGCTGCAGCGTATGACAGTCCGGCAAATGTAACAGGACTTATGTGTTGAGGTAAACAAAATCAAGACTACTGACATTGTGTTCTGCCTCTCGTTGTGCAGTATGGACATCAGGTGTAAGCTCACAACTCCCTGCAGTTTCCTTGTACTGCAGCATTGGCTTAATTAACTTCGATGTGACCTTCCAATATACATGTACATGTACATTGCTGCTGGTATGACATTGCCGACTCGAAGAGAAGAATACTCATTCAGGAGCTGCAGATGAGGGTGGGATGGTGAGCACTATCTTCACGGCTTTCTGCCAATTGAGGTCATCTTGATATTTCCGCCATGCCAGATGATCAACACTACTGGAAACATCAGATGCAGCAAACGTGTAAGCGGCTTGGTGAGCCGCTTAAATTTAATTGCAATAATGACACAAAGGTGCAAGTGCGAGAAAACTCAATAAGCGTGACATGTAGTGCGACAACAAGAGACAACCACTGGACTATCTTTAGCTATCTTCTTTTTTGCGCTGTTTTACCACCTATTATTATTATTATTATTTTACTAACTGAAGGTTCGATGGACTTCTCGTGTGCTCTGGATGGCAGTCGTGAGTCAGTCAAGTGTCAAGTAAAGTCGGCGGAATAGCGCGAGCTCCGGTGTGGGGAGCAAACCCTTTCTTACAAATCATCGCCGAAGTCGCAACCACTACTTCGTACTGCTGTGCCCAGCGCGGGCTTGCGACTAGTTGGTTTGGAGGTGACAGCGTTGCGAATGACCGAGGGTCCTCGACGTCTGCCTCACCGTCCAGGAGCGACACTGACTCACGCTGCTATCTGGTGTTCACGAGGTGTTTGTCGCGCTGGAAACGGAGCGTCTCTGTAAGTTTGTATCCCTGGTGATGTTTGTGCCTGGAGAGCACTATATAATTATAAGTGGTGCTCTTCAGGCACAATCTTCCTCAGCCTACTCAAGCTCAACTGATGAGGGGTGAATTCCCCGAAACACTGTGTATTGAGCAGGGAGTGGTGCTTTCTTGCAGGTTTGCCGAGTCGAAGGTTCGATGGACTTCTCGTGTGCTCTGGATGGCAGTCGTGAGTCAGTCAAGTGTCAAGTAAAGTCGGCGGAATAGCGCGAGCTCCGGTGTGGGGAGCAAACCCTTTCTTACAAATCATCGCCGAAGTCGCAACCACTACTTTTTACTAGGGTACTGTATTTAATCCACTGTTCCTGTTCCTTTTCCCTTGCCAGTATTTCACCTGACGAGAAGGCTTGAAAGTATACTTGTGAAGACAAAAAATTTCAAGATGTTTGTAATGAGCCTGAAGTGTGTCCTTTTTATGAGTATTATCGCATTTTTGTCTCAGAGGAAACTGTTTACTTATTAGAAGGTAATAATAATAATTATTATTATTATTTTAGAATTGCGATCTACAGAACTTTTAAATTATTATTATTATTCCCCCCCCCCCCCAAATATGCTTGCGCATATTTCCGCATATTTTGTGAGACAGTTCATATATGAGCCCCCACACGAGAAAAGGGTCACATTGGCTTCAGGGGTCAATTTTGAGATTTTACTGGGATGTGATTCCTTGATTATCACAGAATATGATGTAAAAAACCGGACTGAAAATATGCATCCTAAAAAAATATGCATTTTTCCTTCCGGGCTAAGTTTTTTATTGGATAGGATAGGATAGGATATTGGATGTTGAATAAACGAGGTTTGTGTCAATGGGAGATTGACTTGGAGTTTTTACGAGTTGATTCTAAACAGTCAGAAAGTGCAATAACTAGGCACAAAACTGACAGAGTACCGCGCTACGGAGATGTGTTGAAGCTAGGTGTCAGGATGTCGAATGTCTCAGTACTCTGTCAGTTTTGTGCCTAGTTATTGCACTTTCTGACTGTATAAAGTATCATGTTACAGTGATGGAGAGTTACTCTTAACTCGTATCCATAATGTCTTTTTCCTTTCTACAATTATTATTATTATTATTATTAATTATTCATATTTTAATAGGGCAGTCCCCACAGACTCAAGGTCTTCTTACGGGGTACCCTAAGAATGAAAGTAATGCATAGCGAAATAGGGATGGCGATGCAGCAGTGCGGATATCAGATGGAGCACTATTCCATCTGTCTGCAGCCAAATAAGAGAGAGAAAACAGACCGTAGCGTGAATAAACTCGGGGTAAAACAAGACTATTGGAGGAGTGAAGGCGGGTCCGACATTGCAAAGTGTTAGCTGCTGAAGAGCGAAGTACAAAGAGGTCTTGAAGAAGGGCACTGGTCTGGCCTAGGACGCAACGGAAAACAACTGAGTACAATTTTAAACTGAAGCGGACTGAAATTGGCATTAAAGAGAAGCGTGCGAGAATTGGGGCTGAATGGGAGGACGAGGGGTAACCAAACACTATCCGTAATGCACGTTTACTGATCTTGATCAGGTTATCATATTCTGTGGTGCGAAGACAGTGTGATATGGTGTCAAGTGACAGTGACTGAGTTTGGTGTGAATGTAGGACTTGATTGGTGCTAGTGATAGATATAATTATAGTGTCGCCTTCATGCCGGCACTGTTGCTGATCATTTATTAGCAGTTGTGTGTATGACTGCATGCACATGCATGCCACTGTGAGACAGGGGCAGCACTATCAGCTACAGTGTGCATTGATGTTACTTGCGTTATAACTCTGGCATGCTTCACACCAGTATCACTTGCACACTCTCACACCATCAACTGTAGTTAGAAGTTTACTTTGGGTTCACTGCCTGTTCAGTTGATCACCTACTTCTGATTAAATAATATATTACACGTACTGCCGACGTATCAAGTGTACAGTCATATGCATTACTCGCATACTCAAGAGTGGATTGTATGAAGGATAAGTAGAACGTACGTTTAGCTCGGGTGGTCAGGAGGCGACGTGTTCTGTACATGGTACTTAGCTTAGCACCAACTTTCTTCCGGAGGGCTGCAACTTGTAGTTTAAAGGATAGATGTTCATCGATGATCAGGCCAAGGTATTTTAGTAGTAATTTTACGCTCAAAGCCGAGGAAATACTAATACCGTCGAGCATTAGGGGGCGGCCAGCGGGAGTGGTCGGAGTACGGATATGCATGTACTGCGTCTTTGCGGTATTGAGTTTGAGACCACGCTCAGAGAGATAATAGGCAACGTTAGCAATGTCTCTTTCCAAGGTAACTACGGCTTGCTCTGCGCATGCATTGGCAGCGTATAGTGTAGTATCATCTGCATACAGCAGCGTAGTCGACTGCTTAACATGGCAGGGCAGGGAGCGGGTGTAAATCGTGAATAGTAGTGGTCCCAGGACGGACCCTAGTGGGACGCCACGGGTGCAGTAGTATGGCTCACCTGGGGAAGACTGGGGAGTTACGACTCTCTGGGTTCGGTCAGCCAGGTAGCTCTGGAACCAGGAGAGAACTGTGTCTCCAAGGCCAAAATCAAAATAGTTCAGAGACTAGAAGTGTGTGATCTACACAGTCAAACGCTTTACTTAGATCAAGGAATGCAGCTGCTACGCACTGGCCTTTATCTAGACACCTGTGCCAACGATCGACACAGAGGGTGAGAGCATCCTCGCAGGAGTGGGAACGCCGGTATGCAAATTGTTCAGGTGGTAAAAGGTCAGGCTCAGATTGAATATATGTCTGCAGCTGTTCGTAGATAACGCGCTCCAATACTGTATCTTCGATGCCACAGGCAATAGGGATATTGGACGGTAATTGGTTGCATGGGTGCGCTCTCCTTTCTTGAACCCTGGGCAGATGTCTGCTGCTTTGAAGCCCGTGGGGAATTGTCCTTTTTGAAGAGACTCGTTGACGATAGTAGTGAGGGAACTAGCAATGTACTCATGGTTACTCTTCAGGAGGACTGGTAGTAGCCCATCGGAGCCGGTAGCCTTCCACGTTTTCTGAGCACACTGGAGATGGTGTTTACAGAGACTGGCTTGAAGGATATGAAGGCTCGCTGGATTGGTGGCCCAGCGGGTCGTTTGGCAGCTGAAGTAGAGGAGTCTGGGCTGGTGACCTGCGCTTCAAATACCGTGGTCAGGGCAGACGGGTCGACGGGAAGAGTAGCTGGGAGCTTATGGCGACCTAGGAGTCGGTTCAGTACTTTCCACTGAGCATGTGCGTTTGCGGCATTCGATGAGAACTGGCGGATGTAATAAGCTTCTCTCA